GTTATGGTGTGTGTGTGTGTGTGTGGGTATGTGTAGTGAAAGTCAAACGAGTATAACAAATAATATTATATATCTATATCGATGACAGTTTTGATGCTATCAATCCATATTCAGCACACAGTTATCTGTATGACAGACAACACATACATACATAAAACTTTATAAATACATATCTCATAGGCTTTCAATAAATCTCAACAGAAAAAAATAATAATAAATTTTTATTTTTGTTTGTGACAATCATAAGGAATTGGAGTGTAAAGCAAATCGGAGAGGGGTTTGTATGGCATAAACAACAGTYCTCTCTGGCATAAAATGGTGTGAAAACTCTGTGTTCAATACTATATATATATATATAAAGTGTCGATGTTTTTGATAGAATTTCAGTTAAAAAAAATAAAGAGAGGAAAGAAAGTTAGGCAACAAAAAAAAGTCGGTCTTTAAAAAAAGAGAGATAAAAATAAGTTTTTCTATAAATCACATCAATTTTTATACCATTGATGTACTACTACTGATGGTATCATCAGTTGGATATCTAAGACTTTCAAAAACGATTGGGGAGGAAGAAAGTGAAGTCAGTGTGTGTGTGGGCGAGTGAGTGACTGTGAGTGAGTGAGTGAGTGAGTGTGTGTGTGAGAGAGAGAGAGAGAGAGAGAGAGAAAGAGAGAGAGATCTATAAAATCAGTGGTGATGTGATTACAAATTTGCAGCACATTTATTCCCATTATGTATGTCCACATCAATCCTCTGTGTATATCGCTATACCAGTGCTACTGTTTCACAGACACACACACACACATATATATAAAATGGTTTAAACAAAAATTGAAGCAAATAAATAAAAATAAAGTCAAAATAATAAATAAAAACTTTTTAAGATGAATAGCCAATATCGGCCCAATAATTTTGTTGATAATAATAGGAAAACTATTTTATATATATATATATATATATATATATATATATATACAGTATATATTGTATATATAAAATAAAAAGCAAAAAATTTTAAACTATCAATGAATTTTCAATTCTCAAAGGAGTTACTATTAYAKTATATATATAGAAGTTTTTAGTGGAAAAACTTTTGTTATATCAAACTATCAAAATTGTTATATATTTTATTAGCTTTCATATCCCACTCAACTACTATAAACTGCATCCAATTTTTTGGATAATTTTTTTTCATTGAAAGTAAGTTTAAAAATTAATTTTTCTTTTTTTGTGATATCGACTTTCAGAGAGAGAGAGAGAGAGAGAGAGAGAGAGAGAGAGAGAGAGAGAGAGAGAGAGAGATGAGATGAGACATTAAATTAATTGAAAAAAGTCTCTCATTTTTTGACGAGAAAAAATCATAAATCACTTGTATATATATATTTCTTTATTTTTTTTACACACTTACCAGTGATAAAACCATATCGTCGATGAAAAATATTGTGTCAGTTATTGTGTGTCAATAACTTATTGGTAAATACTTTAATCCCCTGAAACACAGATACCTTACTTAAGCTCACCAGCAATCGATAGTTGTATGAATAATGTATGTATAGTTAGTTATATTTATTATATCAATATATTATATATGTTTGTGTATTTAATGGGAGTATTTGTTTAAGTTATATCTATTTATTTGTTTTATTTTTATTGTTATATGTGTGCGAACTAATAGTTGCATTAATCTATTAGTCCGATAATTACCTGAATTGTCAACCATTGACACCATTGATATGTGTGATCCCCGACCCTAAATAACAACCAGCCATTAACTCTTTTATGGCCTAAACCCAGTCCATCCCTCAAACAAATAATAACAATAAGATTAATAATATATTTATACAAATATAAAAATAAATTGATCTGTTTAGTCACACTAAATCAAATCAATGGGCACTTAAATGGTCGGACAAAATGAATTAATCATGAATTTGGGTCAGATATATATATATATATATATATATATATATATATATATGATAGATAAATACTGTACAGACAATACAGTATACAATGAGTTAAAAGTGATGGACAGACAAACATAAAAATAAACGCTTTTCTAAACAAAAATTGTTTGTCACACACAAAATAATAAATAAAATAAAAACTAAACTAAACAGCAAAACACTAAACAAAAATAAACGCCAAACTATTTGATAAAATAAGTGAACCAAAAATAAATAGTCATYTCTCTCTCTCTCTCTCTCTCTCTCTCTCTTCTCTCTTACTTTCTCTCTATGCTTAAAGTAAAAGTGATTTTTTTGCAAGTATTATAAATATATTGTTTTAGATTTTTGTTTGTTATTTTGTTTTCTGTATCTTATATCCATTGATTTAGTGATCTATAATACACACACACAAAAGCAAAACACTGTAACACTCTATCATTTGGTGTCCGAAAACAATAAGGGGAAAAAATGTCAGTAATAGTATAATAACAAACACACAATAAGTAGAGACATACGACATGAAAATAGACAAATAAATAATAAAACAAAATAAAAACGAGAAAATAATTATTACTCGTATGAATAATACAGTACTAACAATACAAACAAAGTTCGGGTCTCTCGGGTCTTCAAAGTTGGCGCAAAAGTCATGTCTGTAGTCATTTCAAGCACTGACCGACGTGTATGTGTGTGTATGTTAGGGAACGACATGTAAAAAGATAAGTAAAAAAGATGGTTAGAGGAGATGGTTTAGAGATAATAAGTGTAATACAATGGAAAAGCAGGAAATAGTAGAGATAAAAGTTTTGTGTCATTTTTATATATATAATATAATGTTATATAATATTTGTTGTAAAGATATGAATTGGTTTGAGATGAACGACAAGATTTAGTGTTTATATATATATTTAATATATAGATATATTAGATAATAGAAAAAAATCTTTAATGAAAAGAGACAGCAATTTTTTCTGCTGCTATAAACATCACACACACACACACGATATATACTGTGTATAAATACTAACACTGGTAGTAGTATTGATAGTGTAAGCAAAAAAAATCACTGTCCCTATAGTAGTGTATAGCTTTCACGACACAATTGGCACATAAGAGTCTAACCCTTAAACACTATGTATTACGAGAATTAATATTTAATGCGATAATTTTTTTGTAGGCATATATATATATACAGTATGTATATAATATATGTATATATTATATGAATATATATTATATATAAAGAATATTCTGGTGTTTTGTGATATTCTTATAGTTATAATATACTTATATATATATATATATATATATATATATATTGTTTGTATTCACTTTTTTCAAATTAAATATGTGTTATAATATTTAGATTAATATATCTGAATGTGATTTTCTTATTAGTTGTAAGGCATCAAACTTGAGCCAAACACTTACGGTATTGTTATTATTAGTTTATGTGTTGTATTTAAACTTATATTATATTAGATATTTTGGATTCAATCCAATTGTTATTATATATAATCTTTAAGATGTTTATCTTCTATATAAAAATGTTGATAATTTAAAACATAACTTACATATTCATAATGTTTTATAAATTATTTTTTAAAAAATAATTATTATTACTTTATTAAAAATATTAATAAAAATTAGCGTCTCTTTAAATAAAGTTATTCAAATTATATTAAACTTAGTTTTATTTTCAATAAAATTCAATTAATAACATAAATTAGTTACATTTATAAAAAAATTGAGACAAAATAATTTAAAGTTAAAAATTGGTTTATGAATGGATAAATTATATACTGCTTAATAATTATTATAACTTAAAAATACATAATTTAGTTACTTTAAAAAACAGTAACATAGTTAATAATTTACAGTATTTAATTTAATATAAATTTATAATAATACTTAAAATATTATGACTTAAAATTTAATGGAAATATTTAGTTTTATATTGTTTTTCATTAATTTATATATATATATATWTTTCAAATAGTTTTACACATTTTGTATTAAAAATACAATCATATATTTTAAATAATGTTAATTGATTTTCATTTACATAATAATAATATTATTATAATTATTTATGTTATAAGATTAATTATATATATATATATTTACAATTTTTATTTTAAAATTTTCAAAAATTTTAACTATAACATTATTTTGTAAATATATAAATTTAAATATTTACTTTAATTATTAATTATCAATAATTAATTATATATATATATATATWTTTTTAATTATGTTTTTTATCAATTCATTAATTATCGATTCATTTGCCTATAAATTTTGATATCCATTACTTGTTTCCCTTACATTCCATCAATAATTTATTAACTTTTTAAAATTTTTTTTATTGACTAGTATTATAGGTTGACTTATAAATATCATATAAAAATCAATTTCATTTAAATAGAAAACATAATTTTTTTTTTTAAAAATAAAAAAACAAATAAAACATTTTCTATATATAAAATCAGACATTTCGAGACCATTAGTAGCATTTGATAGCAAATAACCTGAAATTAATATTTTATAACATAAATTATATATTTATAATATTAATTTCAAGATAATTAATTTAAATGTTAAATATTATGCTAAGTATTTGATATTAATCTCAAAAAATAACTGATTGTAAGTTTCAATAAACACAGAATACTAGTTATAAAATATAAATTTTCAGTTTTCATTAATACTGTATTTTTTTAAAATTTGATATATATTGTTAACAAATTTTGAAAAATGAGTTAAAACCGTTTGTATGTTTTGTTTGTCAAAATCTATAAATAAAAAACAAACAAAAAATAAAAATAATAATTTTACAGATCTTTTTAAATGTCAATTTTGCTGGTTTTCAATGAACATCATTATAAATCATATAATAAATTTGTTTCATAACTTATTTAGTACTATATATTATATAAATTATTATTATTATTAGTATTAAAAAACTTATTATTAGTTGTTTTTAAATTAGCTAACAATAGCTTCAAATAGATGTCGATAAAAATAAATCCATTTTAATAAATATAACTGTCCTCTTAATTAGTAGTATTAGACACCAAACTCTTTAGGATGTCTGACTGATGCCTGAAGAGTGTTGTTGTTGTTGTTGTTGTTGTAGCTGTTGTTGCTTTCGGCGCTGTTGTTGTTGTTGTAGTTGTGGCCGACAATCACGTTCATCGCTGCCATCGCCGCAATGGTTATCCCCATCACACACCTGACTTCTGGATATACATTTGCCATTACGGCACTGGTATTCATGCGATTTGCAAGTATTAGTGCCTCCATTGTTGCCAATCGTTGAATTACAGCCGTCGGGTTCATCGGATCCATCAGTACAGTGTCGATGAGAGTCGCAAAATGCTTCAATTGGTATACATTGTCCCGAATTACAAGTAAATTGATTTTCTGAACACAATTTTGTACAGTTTTGTTCGTCCTCTCCGTCCCAACAATGGATAATACCATCGCATCGTTGGCTAAGAGGAAGACATGATGTCTTGTTTCCACAATGAAACTCATCCTCTTTGCACTGGCAGTGCATTTCGTCGCTCATATCGAAACAATTGAAGTGTCCGTCGCAACGTCTGGACTCCGGTATGCAGAGACCGTTAGCGCACTGCCACTCGCCGTCCAAACACTCGGAATCGTCGACACATTGATATGTCTGAGCGCCGACATAGCGACACAATTCTTTATGACCGGAACACCARCCGCCACAACCTCTCGGATCTCTCGGGTCTTTAATTTTGGCGCAAAACGGAACGGCAGCCTTCACTTGAAGCAAACATATCTCGTCCTGTTTACAGTCATTGCAAGCTCTGTCCGGTTTTTCTAACAGATGAGTACTATCGGTAACATTAGTAGTGTTGACCATAAAATGATGACTTTCTTGTTCCTGATCGCAACGACAGTCCCGGATCTCCAGTTCCTGTTGTTCTCGTTGTATGACTCGACAGACATCGCTGTTGACCACTTCGCCGCTCTGAGCCAAACATTTGCGGATTCGGCTATGAATTCGTCCGGAATCGCACTTTCCGTTGAGGCCACGACACGGCGACCACTCAGACCAGTTGGACCAAAAAGCTGTCACACCATCATTACCACTGCCATTGTTATCACTAGTAATCGGCACTTTTTCTTCGTGATTATTATTATTATCACTACTATCGCCATCAGTATTACCACTGACACTAATAGTGATGTCAATCGGCATTTTGACAACACTTTGGGGCACTTTATTTGGAAAACCATCGCCACTGATGACAATACCATTATTATTATTATTGACTGTTGGCTTTACGATCGGCACCGGCTTATTATGATCCACGACTACCATACTGTCGTGTCCTTTAAATGATAATTAATTTTTGTTCTCTCATTAAAAGTGTTCAAATACACAACAATAAAATAATAATAGCAATACAACAATCACACACAACAACAACAACAACAACAATGATAACAACTTAGCAAAGAATTTAAGTATTTGTAAGACTGTTTGGCTTTAAGAACAGGGAGTTTAAGAGATTGGATGCATAAGAGGAAAAATAGAGGAAAAAATCAGTTAACAGTTAAGCAATAAAAATAAAGGCAAACAATAAACTTAAGGGTCTCTCCAATTGCTAACTCATGACTTTCCACTACTACTACTACTACTAGTACTGTAGTAATACAAACACAACTAATTAATGACTTGAATCGCAATGGATTAGTCGATACAATAAATTAAAAAATTTTTGGTTCAAAAATAAATCTTTCGTATCTATTTTAGAGTTAGTACTGTACTATACATTGAATTTATAATACTAGTAGAACTAATAATTTTAATACAATTTTGTATTTTATTATTTTTTGGGAAAATTACAAATGTGTTTTACTACTTATAAAATTAGAATTGAATTCAAAATATATGAAACATTAATCTTAGGACAACTGCATATATATATAACTTGTATAATAGATAATACAAAACATATATATTATCTTAAAGAATATTCTGTAAAACACTAGAAGAAACAGTAATCTATTGATTATTCTCTTTCAGAGAGAGAAGAGAGAGAGAGAGAGAGAGAGAGAGAGAGAGAGAGAGAGAGTCCCRGAAAAGTAGATTTTGATTATATATTTGTTATTATTTTTCATTTAAGCAAAAATTTTAGTTTTTGTTTTGTTTTTTTATTTTATGTAGACTTCAAAATACTGTGTATAAGGAATATAAATTGTTTCTAATATAATAGATACGTATATAATAGTCTAGTATTGTTTCGCAAATGATAATTTCAAACTTTTGATATAAAAACAAAAAACAAAATACAGTTTATATTACTAACAAACTTCTATGCTTTGTGTACTGTATATACAAAATGATTGAAAAATTCAATTAAATTCCGTTCAATGAGATTATATTATAAATCATATATTTAGGAATATAACCATTAAATCTAAGTGAAAACTATTTTTAATAATGTATTTCTCTCATGATCTCAAAAAATTCATTAATAATTTTCCATCATTTAAGAGATTTTATTGCTATTTTATTCATAACTATTTTATCATTAATTTTCTGTGTATGATATTTAACGGATATGTTTAGCTCAAATGGTATGGGGGAGGAGGGGGAGGGGGTAAATGAGACGACCTATTTCTCTATATTATTATATGGTCTACGAGTTTTATTGAAAAAGATATTTTTGTTATTAGTATTAATAGTATTATTATTATTATTAAAACTTCTGGTAAATTATAAATAAGTTATGCATAACAAGAAATATATACAGTATGTCATATATGTTAGTTTATATACAGTATGTAGATAAAGTATATATAATTTATATGTCTATTTTATGTGTATTTAATGTGTAAAACTAAAATTTTTGTGCCTAACATACAGCACATAATCAATCACCAAAATTCACTGGGATTTACATCATCACTCCGGGTGTGTGTGTGTGTTAGCATACACTTCCCTTTTAGTCAAACACATACATACAGTACTGAATTAAGACAGAGACCAACACATAAATGTGTTATACATTATATATATATATATTTATATACTGTAAGTGAGAGAAAATATTTTATATATGATATGATATGTCAGACTAAACAAAAACATTAATATTAACTTTTAATTTGCAATTCTTGGTGTTGTCGTCTTTATATACTGTATATACTATTACTATACTTACTGTATAACTACAGATAATGTCTCTTAACTTTTCATAACAACCTAACAACTCTTAACTTTTCATAACAACCTAACAACTAACTGTACTGTTATTTTGTTGGTGTTTTTTTTGTAATAATATGATATAACTTACAATTTGTAAAGTGATATGTGTTGTAACTGTACACAACAAACTACAGAGCTTTTACTTATGGACTTAAAAAAAAACTTAATACATATAAAAGACTATCACAAGAGAGTATTACAATTACTAGTAGTACCAGTAGTTGCTTTTGTATGTGAAGCCAAACGTGCTGTTCATCAGTAATTTTGCTATTAAATAACTGTTAGACATACATAGACAGACATACATAGATATACCTAACATATAATAATAACTGCCCTCTCAAGTGATGAGAAGGGGAAAGAGTGAGAGAGAAAAAGATAGACTATCTGTTTCTCCAAAAATACTATATTTGCTTCAATTTACTGGTTGTTAAACACGTTTGAGTCTCTCTCTCTCTCTCTCTTCTCTCTCTCTTTTCTTAAAACAACGTCTTGCAATTGTATTGTTGTAGTATTGTATACTTAAATATAAGTATTGTATTTGTTGAGAGTATTATATTTAGTGTTAAATATGGTTCAAACAAAATACTAACTAAATATAAGTATTTATTAAATATAATCTGCTTTTGCTGTGATGTTCACTATAAGATCTCTCTCTCTCYCTCTCCCTCTCTCGCTATCTATCTTTCAATCTATTTATCTTTCTATCCAAACATTCCTCACTCTTTCTCATTTCAGTAAATGAAAAATATTAAGTGAAAGAAAAAAAGAGATTAAAAGTATAACAGAATAAGTGAAGAGTGGAGTTAAGTATTAAATATATATATATATATATATATATATATATAAGGAAAAGAAAAAGGATGTAATGTCTCAGGGAAAGGGATCTTAGAAAAAGGCCAATAAAATGCTAAGCGAATGATAGATAGATGAGAGAGAGAGAGAGAGAGAGAGAGAGAGAGAGAGAGAGAGAGAGAGAAAATCCCGAAAAAGTTTTGTAGCCCTTGTTAGTAGGGCTTAATGACTAATGATGTGCACATACCAGTGCTCTCTCTCTCTCTCTCTCTCACACACACACACATAATGTCATTCATTCACTTTTTTCTCACTCACTCGTTCTCTCGCTTATCACTGAACATACAAGTGCTGTCTCCAAAAATGTACAAAACATCAAAGTACTTACCACTGGTTTGTTTTGTGGACTCTGGCGGCGATCCCTTTCCATCATTATTACTGTTATCATCATCACTGTTGGCGTTGCCGCCAGAAATGGCGTAAACATTGGTCGGCGGCACGTCATCTGTGGCAACGTTAGTGGTCTCTGGTCTACCACTGAACGATGGTGGCAGCGGATGCAACACAGGTCCGGCCATCTGTGTAGGACTGGCAATACTGGTGGCGGCGGCGCTGGCCGTCGATAAGGCTATAGATAATGAACGCGAAGATTCATTTAGATCCCAATCCATTAACTTTGTTATGTAAGAGTCATAATCAGAGATACTATAGTCAGCAGCACCGGTGGCGCTGATATTACTGTTAATAACGTCATTGGCTATCATATCGTACTGATTGTTATCATTTATAACAATACGATGATTAGGACGGCTATACATTAATTGATTGCCCGGCCRGCCATTACTTGAACTACTAGTATTATAATTATTTGCATGAATATCATCACTTGCTTTAACTACCGGCTCATTAAGCGACATATCACCGACATTTGACTCACCATTTGTAGGCATATCTCGTTTTGTCTCTATTTATATGATTATTGTAGTGTAGAAAAAATTGTTATATTGTTTTCATTACATTTAACTGTTTATAAATAGTACAGTATATATATATATATATATATATATTTCCTAATGTTATTTTTGATAGCAATAAGTAATCCTTTATACGTTTAGAATAGTATTCTATAGTAAAAATCATTAGAAAAAATCATTATCTCATATATTTAATGTCTATATATATATATAYTGTGTATATACTGTACTACTAGTATATGACATCAGTAGATATAACTTTCAGATAAGATGCTACTATACAGTAGTCTACATACTAATAGATATAATAATAAGTCCAGAGAGTCGGATATTGTGCTACTATTTTATAAACGATTTACTTATAGATATATACTATTGATATTAATAAATGTATTGATATAAACTAAATATAATGATGATTGTATGTGATGTGTGTGTGTGTGTTATCTATAGATATGTATGTGTGTTGTATTAAATTGCACAAACCATTAGTAGCAGCGGACATGCCTTTAATATCAGTGATATCACGTGCAGAATATTTATTACCACCGATGTTATCAACAAATTTGGTCAGCAGTGTGGAGACACCACTACTGGACATAGGACTGGCACCGACATCAGTGTCATTATCACTACTGACAGTCATTGTCCAGCGCTTTGATCTACTGTTTGTTGCAATGTTTGGTTCAGACATTAGTTGTCTGACAGTATCGTTATAATAGTCTTTGGGAGTATACAACCAAAATTGGTAACTTTGGTGGTGACGGTGGCGGCTATACAGTGGTAATGGCTCAATAKTATGCTTTAAATCCAGTACTTTATCATGCAAACTATTTATTTCATGCACTAGTATGTTATCATCGTTGTTGGCACCGATAGTTAGGCTATTACTACCGGTTCCCAAGCTGTTATCAACTGACTGATAATATAWCCAATTTTCAATCCATGCACTGATACCTGAAAAGGATAGTAGTGTGTATGTGTGTGTGTGTGCTTGTGTTATGATATATTAGTGAGAAAGAGAGAGAGAGAGAGGAGAAGGAGAAAAAAGTGTTTTTTAAAAACCATATTATTAAGTGATGTGTTTTTTACAGTGGTTTAGTAATGATAGTATAGTATATACAGGTATATTGAGGAAAAATATATTTTAGTCTAGAGTTTAGTTATTTTGATGAGTGAGAAAACAAGTGAGTGAATGAGTAAGGGTAGGCATAAAGAGAGAGAGAGAGAGAGAGAGAGAGAGAGAGAGAGAGAGAGAGAGAGAGAGAGAGAGAGAGAGAGAGAGAGAGAGATATGATGGTGTGAATTGAAACAAAAGCCAAAAATGCGATACATGTTATTAAATAGTTTGAGTACCAAAAAATGCTATACCCACCATAAACTACTGTACTAACTAACTACCAGTGTTGTGGTCATAGGAGGAAAAAATACTGTATATTTTGTTTAGAGTACAGTATATATATATATATATTGTGCGAAAAGCATGCCATTAGTCACACGGTTTTTCACAGGCGATAACAACTTATACAATATATACAGTACACCATATAATAAGGATATATAATATATGGTATACAGTAGTAAAGTATATTATATACAGTATATGAGTTAAAGTAAATTTTTTATTGTCTTAGATTTTTTYTTTTTTTTTCTCTCTCTCTCACTAACTGTAATAGTTTTAATGGTTAATCCGGTCTAACAATAGAAAGTATCATTAAGTTTATGAAAAGATATTTAATTTAAGGGTCAATCAGATAGACAGACAGACAGACAAATAAAAGATTAGATATTAAATGCTACCATTATATCAGATTTATACCGTATACTGTATTTAAGTCTTTTAGTGTACACTACAATAGTATATTACTGTATATACTGTATAAAATTGGTATATATTTGGATTCAGTAGACATATAAATATATATTTATATTTATTTATATTCAAAACATACAGAATCATAGAATCATTATTGTATTGTATGATAGATATCATTGAATACAGAATTTCAATTCTTGAATACATTTATTTTTCATCTCTCTTTCAATGTATTGAAAAGTAAAGTCTCATCAATAGATAAATTTCTAATATATATATATATATATTTGTGTGATGTTTKTGAAAGTTTTTATTTTTTAGCCAAAAATTTTTATTCGTGTTTTTATTTTATATATWTATATATATTTCTATCAAAAATCTTCATAGTCTAAACAAACATAAATCTTGGAAATATATATATATATATATATATATATATTATCTGCAAGTTATATAAAATTTCAAAATTTTTTATCTATAAATATCATAAATTATATTTTTATTTACTTATTTACTCAAACAAATATACAACATATAAGTTATATATATATATATATATATATATATATATATATGATATACTGAATACTGTATAATAAACTAAAAAAAATCATTCAATAGAAAAATGTGATAATGAAATAAACAACTATTATAACTTTTAACATATATAAATACACCCCATCATATAAATTACTATAATATACAGCATATATATAATAAAATATAGACGGTTTGTAAATATACCACAAACAGCACATCATAACAGTAATAATAATAATAATAAAACATAAAAAATAACATTTCATTCAAAACGAGACATTTTAAACTTAGTTTTTTTATTATTTGATTTGCACATTGAGTTTAGCACAAAACTATCATTATTACTATTGTATAGATAGGAAAGTTATATATATATATATAAATTGGTCAAAATGTTGGTATTTTTTTCTCTTGAAACACACCATTTATTGGCACAGTTATTATTGAAAGACATCAACCGTTTATATACAGTTTATATATACAGTATATGAGTTATAAATTTAATTCAATTCAATAAGACTTTTTCTGAAGATAAGAAGCTGTAGTTATCATTTGTAAAGAAATATATATTACTTTATATATATATAAGTTAAGCTATATGTATATATATATATAACATTTGTGGCTATGTTTGTGTGACCATAAATGACATTATAGTATGACTATCCATCCTTTTTCATCCCTGTTTTTTTTATAGGCAATGGGTTCAAGTAAAGAGTAATTTTGGTTTTGTGAGTTTGGAAATCCTATTTGAAAGAGAGAGAGAGAGAGAGAGAGAGAGAAAGATATGCCTCCCATTTCCAGCACTTATATATACTTTGCTAGAATTTTATGTGAATGTGTTGTGATTTCTATTCATAAGAACACATTCATCTATAATAAGACATTCCCCGCAAAACACATAAACCTCTCTATCTTTTTCTGTCCTTTAATTTATAACACAATTTTTATATGTATTGAAAACTATAACTTCCCCTAAAAACCGAACAAATCTATAAAATGATCACTTTATTTGCAGATATTTACTGATCATCACTAAAGTTTGTTAAGTCAATCCTCAAGTAATATATATTAATATGTATAGTATATACTGTATAAGTGTAGTTCCTCTTTAGCAATCATCACAAATACAAAAGCATACCATACATACAGACACACATGCTGTATATATATATATATATATATATATATACGATAAAAAATCCATGAAATGATGGTATGTAACCACCTATTCATAGTCTAAATTAATGATATATTGAATATATTGATATCTAAATCAATTATCTCTCTCTCTCTCTCWCTCACTCATAAACTCTTTATTCCTGTTATACTATCGACCAAAATATTAGATAAAATTTAGATTTATTTTTGGTTTACGCGTGAAGTGAGTGAGTGACTGTGTATGTATGTATGTGTGTGTGTGTGTGTGTGTGTGTGTGTGTGTGTGTGTGTGTGTGTGTGTGTGTGTGTGTGTGTGTGTGTGTGTGTGTGTGTGTGTGTGTGTGTGTGTGTGTGTGTGTGTGTGTGTGTGTGTGTGTGTGTGACAAAAAAGGGTTCACATTTTAACCGTATGTCTAATTCAATCATTTGATGATAAGATTTTGATATGTATTGACATTCAATACACGAATTGCTTCGAGAATAATACTATTAAATACCCTTATATTATGTAATAATAATAATAATAATGTAATATAAATGTAATTGAAAGGGAATCCAATGATTAAAAATAGGGATTAATGCTCAACTAAACAGCAATTTTTGTATCGATAATAATAATAATAATAATAATAATAAGGGAAAAGATCTGAAAATTAATTAATTGAACAAAAAAATCACTCAAAAGATAGAGGAAAATGACAGTCAAAAAGTTTTTTCATTCAATTATCAATATAAATGTCTTCAATATATTTGGTATATAAAGTATATAATAATATAAATTATATACGATATTTACTGTATATATTGTATAATATAATGATATATATATATAATTTATATAACGTTTTATGTATATAATAGTAGTTTTCGTTAATGAGAAAAATTCACCGTATAGTCTATCTCTCATTATTGTTAATCCCCTGTACTTATCAATCATTTATATAATGAATGTTCAACTGATAAAACATATACTATTAGATATACATAAATACATATAAAGTATAACTTATGTAAAGTCAAAATTACATTTATAATACTAAATCACAACTAACAGCCTATTTCTCTCTCTCTCTCTCTCTCTCTCTCTCTCTCTCTCTCTCTCTCTCTCTCTCTCTCTCTCTCGCGAGGAAACTCATATATAATGCTGTCCTATCGTTAATAGGTACTCCTCTAACTACTGCACTCTCGGCGGTTATGAGTGCTATACACAGTATAACCAACAATACTGGAGAGAAACATAGTTTAAGGGTTCTCTCTCAATCTCTCTCTCTCTCTCTCTCTCTCTCTCTCTCTCTCTCTCTCTCTCTCTCTCTCTCTCATCTAAATTAACGTTTAGTAAAGTTAATGAAAATGTGGTAAATGTCTGATTATTATAAACTTATTTTTCGCATAGCATATATGTCACTAACAAATATATTATTGCTTATAATATATTATATATAGTAAACRTAAAGGCTATTGTATTGTTATAAAGACACAAAAAAAATTTAATTAATTTTTATCGCAAATCAAAATTGTGTCCTAAAAATTTTAATGATAGCACAAAACAGTAATAAACAAAGTTTTATATATACGGTTTAATATGTTATTAACCAATCACATAGAGAAAGCACTGGAAGTTTAGTGACTATAGAGTTATAGTTGAGGTCATAATATTTATCAATAAATTTGTTGTTAATATCAATATATTTATATACAGTATATAAATAGAGTATATATTTATTATATTATATATACTGTATATATAGCACAATCAAAATCTAAGACACAAACTATTTGATACACAAAAATTGGATGAGAGTCGGTGCACATGGAGTTAATTATAATCAATGACTATATACTTTAGTGTAATAAAAACAATACACTAATTTAATAGCATATGATATATATATATATATATATATATATATATATATAAGGCGCGCACAGTTAGATGTATAGCCAACAACAACAGGCAATAATAAATGGCATATTAATGGGTAATGTAATGAATGAATAGATGTATTTTTTCTTTTGAAAATATATATTGATATATATATATATATATATATATATATATATATAATGAATGTCTTTTTAAAAACCTGTAAATTTAATAGACGTGATGTCGACTCTGAGATTTCCGGCCGGTAGTCGGCCGTGTCGTCTCTCCAACGCATTGATAAACGTGAGGCCGACCTCCTGTGCCGCTGTCAGCAGCTCTATGTTCAATAAGATCCGACATCTGACGACAAGACCCACTTTGGTGTCACTCTCACTGAAAATCAAATTAAAAGATAAAATTAATAAATGAATGAATGAAAGGCATAATTAATTTTTACAGATCCCTATTAATGAGCTTATGATCGGTCAAAAACACACAAACAAATTGCTATATACTTGTATTGTATTACAGAAAATATTGTAATATAATTATTATATACTGTATAACGAATACAGCATATTATAAATATATAACAATTTTTCCCACCTTTTGTCGCATATGCCTAACCCGTTAGCTGTCATCCATCACTTACCCGTTAGCAATAATATAAGCTGTGTGTGTGTGTGTGTAAGTGATGGGTATGGGGAGAGGTTAGGGAGCAATCATTCAATTGTTTGGATTACAGTTTCAATGACTCATTTGTTATAAGTTTTTAAGTAGAAAATAAAGTTAATATTTTGTGAGGAATTTGTTGGGAACGTTATGTGTATTGGGATCACAGATTTGTCAGATTCCTCTCTCTCTCTCTCCTCTCTCTCTCTCTCTCTCTCTCTCTCACACACACACACACACACATACATACATATACACAAAACTAGTAGTCGAGGAGCACTTACCTAAATTCATAGACTTGAGTCAAGTTATATATCTTAGCCAATGGACTCTCCAAAAACATTTCGTCCATCTGTTACCAAATTGCAAACAAAGGAGAAAAAAATAAAATAAAAATAATTTTACTTATGAATCAACAATTTATTTTAATTATAGGTTTTAAGGATTAATGTATGGATGAAAATAAATAAATATAAATTGAATTTTCATTCCAATATTTTTTTCCACTCTCGAGATTCAAGACGACAACAATGGGGAGAGTTTCTGGTAATTGAACTATAATTTGGTTTATAGTTTTAATTGTATTTGTTGTGAGATTGAGTGAGTGAGTGAGTGAGTGAGTGAGTGAGTGAGAGAGAGAGAGAGAGAGAGAGAGAGAGAAAGTATTATTTTTATTTAAGTTTCAGCAAAAAAAAAGAAACTTTTTTTTGTTGGCTTTAGTGAGTGCACTGTAGGCTAACAACGCCTTAGGAGGGTATGTGTGTGTGTTTGTGTCTGTCTGTCTGTGTGTGCATTTGATTAACAAATAATTTTGTTTTGCAAATACATTTCAATTCAATGGGATAAATGTTAATGTAATTCAAGAATTTTGTTACGAGAAATAAATAAAAAAAAAGATAATTTGTGTACAGAAAAAAACTGTTATATTATTGTATCAAATAATGCTTGGATTATATCTGCAATATACGGTATACTGTTATGCTATATGTATATCTATGTTAAATATATTGAATTGAATTAGCCGTACAAATAAATTAAATTTTTCTCAAACAAATATAGTGTTATATAGTGAATGAATGCACAATTGAAATGTAATGTCTATTAATTATGTAAATTCATTGTGTATGTCATTCACACATTATGAATATAAATGATAGTTTATAATAATAATAATACTAGAGATAATAATATACCAGTGCTGGCAATAGTTTCTGCAACTGTTAATAATAGGGAAACAAATGTACAGAATATTCTGTAATTTACTGAATTTATTTCTCTTTCTCTCTCTCTCTCTCTCTCTCTCTCTCTCTCTCTCTCTCTGTCTCTCTCTTGTTGTGTTCAGTCATTAATTTATCAACACACTGAATATGTAGTATTTCAATGTACAATATAATCTTAAATGTATAAATTTTTGCCACAAAAATTATTTCAATACTATGGTGTGTTTGTATGCATGAATTGAAAGCTCCTTTTTATTTTAATTTATGTGGAAATCAATGCAATAATTTGTGGCAAAGCTCTAAGCAATTTGCGTTTTTAATTAAATTCACGATTTATTTACATTAAATATCTCTAAATAGTTTACATGTATGATATATATATATATATATTTATTTAGTCTATATATATATTATGTATATTTGTGGTATTATTTTTGAAACTTTGCATATGATTATCGACATTAAATTTAAATTTTATTATTTTTACGACTGCTATCATATAAATTATATGTATAGTTTATTTATATAGCTTTCATAAACAAAATAAAACAATATATAAAACACTGTATATAAAGAATAATAAAAATAATGATAATAATATGTGTTTTGTTTTCTCAATACAAACTTTAATGTAATTTAATTTATGATTTCACTGGTAAAACAAATTACAAACACTTCTATCCTCTCTCTCTCTCTCTCTCTCTCTCTCTCTCTCTCTCTCTCTCTCTCTCTCTCTCTCTCTCTCTCTCTCTCTCTCTCTCTCTCTCTCTCTCAATATTATTATAATATAATAATATTCACTCATAAAAGAGATACTCATTTGTTATTCAATTATTGTTTAGCTGTCAAAATAAGACACACATATATAATATAAAAATGCATAAAATATTGTGAATGTAATATAAAACAAAATATTGTTACATATATACGTGATATACGATATTATACTGTATATTATGTACTGTACTGTACAGTATATGTATATTAGTTTGAAAATAAGGGGTTTTTTGAAGGATAAAAAAGGGATTGTCATATAATTCATACCGATTTGACGACATCTGATGCAAATGACTGAAAATCTTGCGATGACTGACTGTCGAGGGCTGGACTATAGTGACGGTTGGATAATATGAACTCTCCGAGTATAACTTTGCTACCTGTTTGTACAAATATATATAAAAATCAAACATTATATAAATCAGATTATATTATAACATATCGTATCACAAATAATCAAAATTGAATTGAATTTTCTTTATGATATGTAATCTAAAATTAGATTATTTTTCATGTAATAAATATTAACAGATTATTATTCTCTGTATATATAATATATATTTATATTGATAAACATTTATTACAGTATTACATAAAATTGTTTTTTTCTGATGAAATTTCAAAGTTTTAAAATAAAATATAAATCGGATTTAATTTTTATATTGAAAAAATGTTAGTCTATAATTTAATAATACTGTTTAAAAAAATATATGGTATTTTAATATTGAATCACTACATATAGAGTTTAATATTTAAAAAATATATATTAAAATTTTTTGATAAGTTTATAATACATTTAAAATATATTTATATATTGCTAAAATAAAATTAATTTATATTTGTATAGCATTCAATTAACATTTAAACAAATAATCTGTAAATATTGCTATTATTTGCTATTGAATACAGTATTTACTTGTAGATTATAAATCAATTTTAAATATAATATATTCACTGAACAAATATAAATTAAATTTGTTTATGTTATGTTTGAACATTCAAAACAAAAAAAAATAATCTCAATTTGTTTTGTATAATAATAATAATTCAGAATATTCTCTCCATTACTATTGTTTGTTTTTTTGGTAATCAAAGATATACGTATTCCTGATGTTTACATATTTACATAAAATTTAAATGCATTATATATATGTACATACAATTCACTGAGAAATATAAAAAAGACAAACAAACAAATGCATTGTACAGTATTATAATATTTAGCAAATTTAGTGGATTCACGTTTTATACTATATTTATATATAAAATATATCTAAAAAACATCATATATTTCCTTCCCATTACTTTTTCGAAAAAATATATATATCTTTTTTCAGTAAAATGTATCATATTTAGTGTTGGCAAAAAAGAGAAATTTATAAAATAATAGAGAAATTTCTAGAAAGTTTCTAAAAGAAATTTCTATTTATGGGATCCCCATGGTTAATTTTGTTTTCTCGATATTTGTTATCTTTAACATTGTTTTTATAAGTAATATTTAAATATTAGTATTAGTATTTTAATTATTAATTAAAGTAAAAATTTATTTATTAAAAACTATTATATAATAAAATGGTGAATAAAATTTTACAAAACTGATTATTATTAAATAATTATAATTATTTATATAAGTATCCCATTTGTACAGTAATCTACATTATATAGTATAATATTATATGTATAGTAGTGTCTCATTAATATATTTATAGTTTTACAATATCTATAGATATGGGGATCCCATAGTATACCAAAAAAGTTAAATTTCTATAGAAATTTATTCCTGAGAAACTTTCTAGAAACTTTCTCAGGGAAATTTATTAGAAACTTTCTATTTGCCCATCTCTAATCATATTATGCATACTATACCTGATATATGGTATCTAATAATATTATATAGATTTGTGTGCGAAAAGCTTTTTTTCGGTTTGCTTTTAAACAAATAAAAGTATTTCAATGTATAAGTTATAAAATAAAACATATATACTGTACTTTTTTTCTCCACTAAACTCCTAATATGACTTCAATAATAGATTATATTCAGTATATATCCGATACTCTATTTAATAATATATTGCATCAAACATTTTACAATATTAATAATACATTTTTAAAGTAGAAATATATGCCTTTACTATACTGTCTTATGTTATCTTGTAATTTAATCATATAAATTACATAACATTTTTATAACATGTCTTATGCCATTATAATATACAATATATATATGTATACTGTGTATGTATAATATCTTAAATATATGTCAGATATTTAAAATAAATATCAAATATTATCAGTTATAATATAATATATTCTGWATTTATAACAAACCTTTTTCCAGTCGTTCCTCTCGCTGTTGATTATCTAAAAACTCGGATTCAATATTTGGTGATAACTTAGGGCTTATCGTTGATGACAGTGTTGACGACGATGAGGATGACTCGTCCCATAAGTTTACGTTACGGTTGACTATAGAAATATGGATTAAACATAAAAAAGAGAGAGAAAGAAAAAATCATTTTTTAAATAAAATATTAACATATATTTTTGCTGTTCTAAAAACTAATAATAATAATAATATAAAATTTGAGATAATAGTAAAATGCTTTTAAATAATAAATTATATGATTATATGTACTGTGTGTGTGTGTGTGTAACAAAAAATAGTGTAAAGTTGGCTAAATTTTAGATATTATTATTATGATGATTTTATGAAATTATAATATATATATAWAAAAGATTTACATTAATATATATATATATATTTCAAAAAAGATTCATACATATATTAAAAATATTTATATAAAATTTATATATTATTATATATATATATTTTTTTAATTTTTTTATAGTGCTTCGCCTATTCATTTAGYTATGTATGGGTATTGAAGCGGATAACCGTTTGGACAACTTATTTATTATATATTACCTAACATACATAAGTAATGTCGTTATTATTATATATATATATAATTGAAAAAAATTATTTTCATTTAAAAGTTTAAAAATAGATAGTTAAATTTTAATTATGTTGTTTTAAATTATTATTTTTCTTTATCAATAATATTATAACAATTGTTTATATCAGATCAATATTTGAAAATGAAACTTTTTTATTCAATAAAATCATTGATATTGAAAATTGCAATATGCTTATCATGTTGTATAGTAAAATTTTTAAAAATTGATTAAAATTTTCAAAAGTGCTAATTATTACTTAGAATACAAGTTATATTCAAAGGTCTTAAAACAAAATTCTGACATATTTAATTTTTAAAATCCAAAACTACTTAGTCAACCTAATATTAATAATTTTATGTTATTTTAATACACTAAAATAAATGTCATTCTATTTGCCGTTTAAAAATAATACTAGTTTTTGTACTTTTGAAACGACATTACTTATGTATGTTAGGTAATATATATATAAGTACTGTATAGTATATAATATATCGATATATAACTATACACTCTCTTATTATTATTATTATGTTGATGTTTGAATTTTGCCATTCATCACAATTTATTTTTTTTAAATATTATTTAACGTTTGAATTATTAATAATAATATATATATATATATATATATATATATATTCTGTATATGTTGAGTGCACTTAAATTTATTGAGTGGGAAAGTACTCTGTGTATGTGTGTGTGTTGAGTGTAGAGAAACGGTATGTATAGTATATACTACATGTGCTGGTGACTAATACCCAGAATATTGCAATTGCTATGTCTCTCTACTTGACTGTGAAATGAATATATATATTTCTAGTAATATATATACATAATATATATATATATATATATATATAGTGTATATATATGTACTGTAGGGCATAGAGAGTCAGTTAGAAACAGTAGTATTGTGTAGAATAGTGCATAAAAATTATTAGTTAGCAAATGAAACATAAGAAACAAAAAAAAAGATATATATTATTATTATTATTATTATATATTATCGTACATAAGAAATATTCTGTATATAAAATTTTCTATTACTTTTGTTAGTAAAAGACAAAAAAAAATAAAATAAAAACATATTGAATGTAAAGTGTGTGATTGTCTTTCACTACAATATATATATATACTGCAGATATTGTATATAAATTTATTGTTGACTATAATATTATGTCATGTAYTCTCTCTCTCTCTCTCTCTCTCTCTCTCTCTCTCTCTCTTCTCTCTCTCTCTTTCTTGTATTTTATGGTAACAACCGATATGTAGTATATATCTTGCTTTTCTTTAATATTACTTTTCTAGTAATACTGTATAAATATATATATAAATTTATATACAGTATACACTCACTTAAATATCTTACAGTGATATTTGGGTATTTGGTTTTATTTTATTTTTTAGAGAAAAACATTATTCAAACATAATATATATGAATACAAAAAGCCTTTCTCCATTTGCTATACTTTTTTTTAAGTAATCAGAAATAGTGTACACAGTTTATAATATACATTGGGTATATTTTATACAATATATGCAGCAGATATGTGCTATTTTATAGTATAAAATTTTTACTGAAATTGATTTGCCTACCAGTGCTCTTTGTCGTAATAGCATAGCATAGAGAGAAAGAGACAGATAGATAAGGGACAACCATTGAGAGATAGATTGTATAAAGGGATAGGCATTTTACACAGTCAAATATACAGTATAATATTATATACAATTTTATATAACAATTCAATATTATATATATAAGTCTCGTTTGAATCCAATTATTTCATGCCCTCTATCACTGAAACTCAATGTTATTGTTGTTATGCCAGAGCACTGATAGCTGAACACTGGGATTGTAGTACACTATCAATACTGTTAAAGCATTGRTGAATAATACTGTAGTAGTAATAGTACTGATAGTAGTAGTAGTAGTAGTAGTAATAGTTGTTGTTGTTGTTATGTTCAGTCAATTTTATATTTTAAACTTCATTTTTAACCCTTATATTTGATTTTATATAATAGCAGAGAGAGAGAGAGAGAGAGAGAGAGAGAGAGAGAGAGAGAGAGAGAGAGAGCTTTTAAAAAATAATGATCACTAATGGAAATACAAGTCATTCGTGAAATAGTGAGAGTCGACTAAAAAAATTAGACGAAAAGAAAAATATTTTCCAAAAAATTAAATTTCTATTTTCATTTGAAATATTTTTCAATATATTATACACAAAATGCACAATACTATACTTATATGCATATTGAATAAATATAAATTATATATATATATATATATATATATATTAGTTGTATTTATAGTTGTACAGTAGTTATTTGTAAAAAAAAGTTAAAAATCTAGTATTCAGTATATTGTATACTGTTTATGATACTGTATATATTGTATAGTATTTATAAAAATGTATTAATATTTTTTATTCAGATAAATTATATCAATAGAAATATTTCTATTATAAAAAATAAAAAAAAGAAATTAAATATTCATTTTTTATTTCTACTAAAATTGAATTTTTGTTTTCAATACATTACTCTTTTTTTGTTGTTGCTGTTCAATTCAATTAAATAGTTTATACAATACAATACACAAAAAAATCAAATTAATWTATATATATATTATTAGTCAATCCTATTTAATATTAAGTAGACATAGAAAATATTGATGATTGACCTTTTTTGTTGTTGTTGTTGTTGCTATTATTAATGTATTATATTTACTTAATTAGGAAAAATATGAAAAATATTTATTATTAAGAAATATATTTATGCCTTATATTAGTATAATTGCTTGAGATTTTCGTTTTTATGTGACTGTACGGTACGGTACAGTATATATATATATATAATACTTTACTTTATTATATAGTTTATATAGATATAAATAATATAAGTTTATGCAATTTATGAGATCGTAAAACACACAATTAAGATAATTGCCAAAACATTTGATTTGTTTTTTCCTCTTTCTTTGTCTGTGTGTATATATTAAAAGAAATGTAGATTTTTTGATTTTTTTTTCTTAATAATAATAATAATAATAATAATAAAGTAGAAGTGATCACATCAAACATCAAATTTTTACATTATATTGTATATATACTGTGTGTGTAAATGTTAGGGACTTTTTGTTTGGATTTTTTTTGCATAAAAATTCAATCCAAGATAATTGCGTTTCTCGTTTGAGAAATAATAATAATAATAATAAAATAAATTCAACTAATAATACCCAAACAACTGGAAATAATGTCTGTATATATTCAATATATATATATATATATATATATATATATATATATATATATATATATATATATATATATATATAAAGACAATTGCAATCGATTTATAACTAGTATTTATTTTATTTTTTWTATATATAAATAAGCAAAAAAAGGTTTTCCATAATAAGTACAGTAGTATTATTGACAATATATATACAGTATATACAGCTTTATTAGATGTATGTATAGAAATATATTGGAAAAGTTTTTATGGCACCAAAAATTGCATTTATTAAGAGTGTGCTAATACTTAATACTTAATAATATTTAAAAATATACTGTACTTATTGAGTTTATGATCATATTATTATTCATTGAGTAAACTATACGTATATTATTTAATACAGTACTTAGAAAATATATAATTATTATAATGAACTGAAAATATTTTTTTTATTTTTATTTTTGGAGAGAGAAAAAGATTTGCATAGCATTTAATCTCTACATTAGTTTTGCAAATATGATATTTATTATAATACTAATTATTATGATTATTATTTTATTATTATTTGCCTGTTTTCATATTTTTTGAAAATTTTCAAACAATAATTATAAGCCTTTTTATCCAATGTATACTTAATGCATTGTAGAGTATGTAGCAATAGTTTTAATCTAATAATAATAATGTTTTATATGTAACATTTAAAAACTATAATACAGTTTAAGTACATTAAAATAAAATTTTAACTTTAATTTTCAGAGAAAAAATATTCAATTTGAATACATAAAAAATGTTAATAATAGACAAATTAAATATATATTTATTTAATATATAGTAATTAAATTTTACCAAAAAAATATTGTATGTCATAACTGCTTTATGATGTTTTAATTTAATAAAATAAAAAATATATTTTTATTATAAAAAATTATTTTATAGAGTATACTATATCATAAAAAGTTATAAATTTAATGTCTAAATGTATATTATATCACATTAAGAATATAAAAAAACTATTTTTTAATTAAAATCTAAACTAACTATTAGTAAAACAATTTCGTGTTTGCAATCTTACATAGAAATCAATTTATTTGTTATTATTATATAAACTAATTAATTGGTTTCATCTATTATATTGGGTAATTGTCTTTGTAATTATTAAATTATGATAATAGCAAAAAAATGTTTGTGTGTGTGTGTCTGTGTATATATATATTATATATTATTATATCGTATATAGCGTGTGTAAAAAATAGTTGATATTAATATTATAAGTGGTAGCATAATATATTTTATTATTATATTATATATATATATATAAAACTATGGCATTCATTAAGATTGTTAAAAGCGATTACAATATCAATATAACAATAGACTTGAGAATATAGCTATAAKGTGTGTGTGTGTGTGTGTGTGTGTGTGTGTGTGTGTGTGTGTGTGTGTGTGTGTGTGTGTGTGTGTGTGTGTGTGTAAGAGAGAGAGAGAGAGAGAGAGAGAGAGAGATCAAAGTAATGACATTAAATGGTAAAACACATTGCATTCATTAAATGAGATTTCATTTTATATAACAATATACTGTATATTATAAGATATATATAATATTAAATAACATGTTTCCCAATGTTGTTGACAATGAAATCAAAAGAAATGAAAATTTTGTTTTTTTTATGATTTTTAGTATTAAAATCATACATAAAAAAGAAAAATAAAAACACAAGACTCTGCAATAATAAGAGCTATGAGAGTAAAGCATTTTTTTCTCCTACTGTTACTAACTTATGGATTGGTACTGTAGGTGCATTGGCCTTAAAGTTTGCCATATATTAGTAATGTGTGTTTGTGTACAGTATATACATTATATATATATATATATATATATATATATATATATATATATATATATATATATATATATATATATATATATGTTTCTCTTGTAATACCAGTGCACACGCGAATATTATACAACAACTTAATGCTATTTGAAAGTTATGGTAAAATAGGTCTCTCTCTCTCTCTCTCTCTCCTCTCGTCGCTAATGGGAATGCATTAGTTATTCAGAAATGGACTAAACTATTAACACAAACGATAATAAGCAGCGAATACTTTATACAGTATATATAAATATATACTGTATATACGATATAATATACTGCATAACTTTTAGTCTATAAGTTTATAATGCAATTGCCTTTTCAAACTATAGTATATATATATAAACAGTATATTATTAATTCAGTCAAATGTGTTGTATTTTCTGCATCAGAGGATAGCTTTAAAAAGAAAACTATTTTTCAATATTTTTTTTACTTTTAGATATTCAATGGGATATTTGCAGTAAAGCTCTTATACAGTATATACAGTACACTCTCTCTATATATAATAAGTAAACCACTTTACATCTATTTTGATGCTATTTTATGTATACAGATATGGTTTATGTGTTTGTGTTGTGTTGTGTTAGTACAGTATGTATTTTTTACAAAATGTGAACAAACATTATATAATCACTATAATATATATTATTTATTTTAGACAAACACAGAGTATGTTATATCAAATAAAAATTGTTGTAAAAAATATTTTTTATGTTTAAATATATAATTTGCTCTATAAATAATGGTATAGTATTTTTTTAGAGGTTATGTAATATCTATAATATCTATCTACTTACTGTATGTACAATATATTACTTGTATAAATAATTTATATATATATATACTGTACGCGTATATCAATATTATTAAAGGTAATAATAATATTATCAATTTATATATCAATAAATAAAATTATATATATATATAAAATTTTCAATTCATACGTGACTTACCCATAAAAAATGTTAAGGCAGAGACACAGATGATAAGCAATACCAGTGCCAACACAACAGAGCCCATACAGCAGTACACTTGACGTCTGGACCGACATTTGTCGTGTCCATTGCCATTGCTATTGATATGAAACTCCCAAAACCGATTCAATGGCTCTTTATTATTATTATTATTATTTATATGGTTAGTATTATTAGTATTATTATTATTATTACTGTAATTGTTGGCACCGGCAGTCAAATTACTATTTAAATTATTAATATTACTGATTTTGGCCATATTGTTCAGTGTGTTACGTTGTATGGACGGTTGGCTGCCGGCGTTGGCCGACCCAATACACGACTCGTTGGCAAAAATATCATATCTCTGTAAAATTAAACAACAAAAAAAATTATAAATTAAATTATAAAATTACTGATAGTTTTATTTTTACTTATCAAAATAGTAAAGTGCTTATCTATCTTTATGTATGTATGTTTGTGTGTAATTAAACTTGAAATAAAACTACTGTAAATACAGTAATATATATATTTCTATATATATATATATTAACTCAATTGACCAGTAGTGTATAATCAGCAGCAATAGTAATAATTTAAGCAAATTTGTTGTCCTATTTTTATTAGGCCCCAATCAACATTTTTATATTAAGCAATGTTATGGAAAAGTTTGTTTATTGTAATGTACTGTAAACATCAATTTGGAGTTAAACTAATGTTTCCCTTATGTTTCAAAAATTTTTTATTTTATTTTATTTTATTAAGTATTATACAGTATATATACACTATATGGGAAAACCTCTAACTTTTGCATCATAGAGACCAACACACAGTATATAAGTATGTGTGCAACTTATATATTATATAAATTTAATAGTGATTTTAAATTTTATTATTATATTCAATATTTTATTTTTCCATTCATATATCATTTGAAAAATAGAGGAATCACTAGAATTTAAATTTTTATATGAAATCATATACAATATATTATATTTGTTATATATATATATATATATATATATATATTCTGTATATAAATTATATACATCTATATTAATAATTTCATATTTATGTTTATTTAAATATTTGTCAGTTAGTATCAAATAAAATTATTATATACCAGTATATACTGAATAAAACATTAATAGCAAACTTTGTTTGTGTGTGCCATTACATGTCTACAGTATCAGCAAAAATATACGTACAGTACGTACAGTATTATATAAATATAAAAGTGCTTTTACGCCATTCAAGTCATGTACTAATGTATCTCAATGTATTAGTTCAGTATTTGATTTTATAAAAAGAAAGAAAGAAAGATATATATATAAGAGATACGGAGAGATAAATAGATAGATAGATAGATAGACATACAGATAGATAGACGGAATGAGAGGGAGAGCACTGGGAGTCTAAAAGCGTGTGAGCGAAAAGATAGAGAAAATGAATATAAAGAATCCATTACTTGAAGCCTAAAAGGAAGGCATACTATAACTAAACACAACCGGTACAGACCTAAAGTTTTGCACACACTTTGACATTACCAGTATTTTTTGTAGGATTTCCCTTATTGGGAAATGTAGGAGAGAGAGAGAGAGAGAAAGAGAGAGAGAGAGAGAACAGTTTCGTGTGTTTGTAATATGTTGAGGATAGGTTAGGTTTAGATGTATTTTCACTATGACTCTTATACTGTCTAAAAAAGTGTACTCTCTCTCTCTCATCATAAGACATACTGTAGTTTACTGTATGTGTGTGTGTGTGTGTGTGTGTGTGTGTACTGTGCACTGAATTTTAAGGACTCACACAAAAATATTGTAAGACTTTTCTACTAATAATGAAAATGCCTGCGAGCGGTACGTGCAGTCTTATTCAGACACACTTACCCTCCCGGAGCCCTTATTTTCTCAGCGTTTCTCTGCTTTTTTTTCATTCATAAACACTATTCTCGCGACTCAGCAGAAAATGTTTTCTTCAAAAAAGGAAAGACCTTTAGGGGTCATACATACATACATTCATACATATATTGTACGCCATACACAACACACCCTAAGATGGACAGTCTTTTTCTCCCTGTTTAGCATTTTTAAGGCGTTTAGAGAGAGAGAGAGAGAGAGAGAGAGAAAGCGGTGAATGAGTGCACACCAAACAGTGACAGCTGGTCTACGATCGGACCGATCTCTACAAGTCCCTACATGTGCTCTCACTTCTAAGGAAAGAGTGGTGTTTCGAGAGAGAGAGAGAGAGAGAGAGAGAGAGAGAGAGAGAGAGAGAAATAGTTATTAAAGAAAAGTGTGCTCCCTCTCCCTCTACTCCCTCCCTATCCTCTCTCTCTCTCTCTCTCTCTCTCTCTCTCTCTCTCTCTCTCTCTCTCTCTCTCTCWCTCACTCTCACGTATACACTTCATTCGCTCACACATATTGCTAACATGAGTTAAACTTTTTTTGTGGACTATTTTTGTTTGTAAAACTGTTTTTTATTTTTTTATATTTTTATAACCGATATTTGACGAAAATAGCAAACCGGGAGATATCGCCATATGACAAACAACATAAATACTATACTACCATTACTACTATTGCTACTCGTGTGCCCAGTTATCCACAAGTATTGTTGGTGTAATCTCTATTTCTCTCTCTCTCTCTCTCTCTCTCTCTCTCTCTCTCTGTCCGGCACTCATATGTATGTATAAATTTACATACTATTGAATAGATGGTGTATTTAGTCGACAGGTGTGGTATACATATAGTGAGTAACAAAATAAAAAATAGGAGATAAAAATTAAAGATAGTATTGATATCACACACACACACACACACACACACACACACACACACTCGTCTCGCCTAATGTTTTCTCCTAAACTATATCTCCATCTCTTGTGGCGCTCTCCTCCCTGGACTACCGGTCCAGTCTATGCCATACAAAACTAGTAATGACTTTAATATTATATTGCGTTTAGATACGGCCAATGTTGCCAATATACACACACACTCGCACAGGAAGCTAAGCCTCATGGCACTGGTAGTCTAATACTATACATACTGTATATAAAGAGACACAGGGAGAGAGTGATTGACGACACGCATCACTTATTTAACTCATATAATAATATAATACACGTTTAATACAATAAAATTATATCTATCTATTTGAATGTGTGTATACATACAACAAATAGAAATAATAGCACTTATAATAATAAAAGTACAGTCAATATGTATGTATATACAGTATATATGAAATATTATATATTATAATGTATATAAAATAATAATAACTTATTTGAAGCATAAATGTCGGTATGATATGATAGAAAAAATTAAAATTTCATTAAAAAAATTTGATACCAAACACAACAGTTCAATAAATTATAATAATAAATAATAATAATCTACTGTACGGTACATACAATTAAATATAAATTTTATTTTCATGGACTGTGAATGACTGATAGTTAATACAGACAGTCAGTGTTGAACATATCAAAAGCCATTTGATTCAAAAGACATCCCTTTCCCTTTGAATTATATGTATAAACAGTAGTATTATTATATCATATATATATATATATACTGTTATAAACAGTACTGTATATATATATATATTGTATTTATAAAAAACATTGCGATAATTGCAAAATGAAAACTCTATCCGAGTATTAGGTCTCTTATCTATCAAATTACCGGAAATACCGTACAGGGGTTGACACGAGAGTCTCGATCTTAGGAGAGGGGGTCTCCCGGCGGGATAGGTTAGGTACTGCTCTCCTTAAAAGACAAAATTGTAGCATTTAGTGGGCTTTTCATAAATATAAGCTAAAGTTATACTCCCTTTCCTTTCTCCTGCCATACGAACCTAATCTATAATATTATATGACATATGAATTAAAACTATGATTCTCTATATGATTATGATTACAGTATATTATTATTATTATTATTATACTGTACTCCTTAACTTATATAACATGTCTATCGATTTGATGTCTAAAATTAGATTAATAACTAGTTTTTCTTTTAGTTTTTTTTCGTTGTCATGTTGTTGTTGTTGTTGTTTTTGTCATATTTTAACCAACAATAAAAATATTAGTCATTAAGTGCCAGTCTCTCACTCTATATATTATTATTATTATTATTATATACTAATAATATTACACCAATATTTGAATTATTACTGACTTATAATATATAAATAAATAAAAATAAAGCCTTAAGGTTTATATGATATGAGTATGTTAAGTGTAAATTACATGAACATTATACTACTTTATATACTATATATAAATGATTTAATATTAAAATATTATGACAAGTGTGTGTCCATTTGAATGGACAGGGAGAGAGATATATTTAATAATGTTAGATTTGATTTATTACAGTATTAACAACTATGGATATAATCAATAACTTCAACAATATTTTATATTTAAATTGACTAAAAAAACTAAGTATTATAAATTATTTAATTTAGAAATATTCAATGCTAAAAGATAGTATTGTCATTATATATACATACAAAAATATCTCAAATAGTCAATATTGTATTATATTTATAAAGTATATCATTAAATATAGAAATAAATGTAAACTATTGTCATATATGATATACAACTGTATTGGTTAGTGGTATGTTCACAATGTAGACATCCTTTTGAGTGATATTTTTGCCGATAGGTATATATTTAGTATTGACTTCATAAATATATAACTTTAATATACACTACCAGTACTTGATATATAATATTTTAATGCTAAATGAATTTAATACAACTCCAAAACATAACTGTCTGATATTTTTATTATTATAGTATTCCCATCTCTCCCTTTCCCCTGAATTTATTTGAGACAAAATAGTTTATATGAAACTTTTTTAATATATATAGACTATAGAAACATAGTTTTCTGATAAAAAGTAGTCACACTATTATATTCAATAAAAAAACTCAATCAAATTACTATCTAAATAGCTATAAATTATTTTTTTTAAATTAATATATAGAAAACTTTTGTACAATGATTTCAATATACTTGATTTGTTTAAAATGTTTAAAATAATATAACAATAATTTATTTATCTCATATCTGAACAGATATTTATTAACCTACTATTCCATACTTTACTTATAACAAATATTGTGGGCGACATAACA